ACGGACATCACGAGCATGGCAACGGACACCACGGTCATCATGGTCATCACGGACATCACGAGCATGGCAACGGACACCACGGTCATCACGGACATCATGGCTCAGTGAGTCACGGACACCACGGTCATCATGGTCATTACGGACATCACGAGCATGGCAACGGACACCACGGTCATCATGAACATCACGGACATCATGGCTCTGTAAGTCACGGACACCACGGTCATCATGGTCATCACGGACATCACGAGCATGGTTATGGACACCACGGTCATCATAGTCATCACGGACATCACGAGCATGGCAACGGACACCACGGTCATCATGGTCATCACGGACATCATGGCTCAGTAAGTCACGGACACCCTGGTCATCATGGACATCACGGACATCACGAGCATGGTTATGGACACCACGGTCATCACGGACATCATGGCTCAGTGAGTCACGGACACCACGGTCATCATGGTCATCACGGACATCACGAGCATGGCAACGGACATCACGGTCATCACGGACATCATGGACATCACGAGCATGGTTATGGACACCACGGTCATCATGGTCATCACGGACATCACGAGCATGGCAACGAACACCACGGTCATCATGGTCATCACGGACATCATGGCTCAGTAAGTCACGGACACCATGGTCATCATGGACATCACGGACATCACGAGCATGGTTATGGACACCACGGTCATCATGGTCATCACGGACATCACGAGCATGGCAACGGACACCACGGTCATCATGGTCATCACGGACATCATGGCTCAGTAAGTCACGGACACCANGGACACCATGGTCATCACGGACATCACGGACATCACGAGCATGGTTATGGACACCACGGTCATCACGGACATCATGGACATCACGAGCATGGCAACGGACACCACGGCCATCATGGTCATCACGGACATCACGAGCATGGCAACGGACACCACGGTCATCATGGACATCACGGACATCACGAGCATGGTTATGGACACCACGGTCATCAT